TTTCCGTATTAACATACGTTACTTTATATCCTTCTTATATTATTAATTTATTTTCAGAAAATCTTGTTTATTTTTCAAAGAAATATACTTGGCAACAGACAAAATGGGACTTGATGGGACCTTTAAATTTTAATATATCTGCGTCTCTCTCGCGAAATTTGACTTCTTTGTTCACTGTCGTCTCTTGTCTTATCTACTCTTTGCTAGTACATACGAGAACATTCGAAAACCTTCTCTACGCACCTAACGATCTATGGACTATTCTAGAGTTCTTTACCTGTCGGTATAAAAGCCGGCGGCTGTGGCCTACAGAGGGCAGTTATACTACCAGTGCAGTTGACGCGCTAAAATTCAAAATAAATTCTTAGTTATAAATCGTTTGTAAATAGTTCTATAAGTCTTTTATCGTTATTGTTTTTGTTAATTAGTGTTAAATAAATAGTGTTTAAATAAATTGTGACTGTCTATCCACACGGAACCGACGAAAAACGTAACAATAATGTCTTTTGGTAAAAATCGCAACCGTTCTCAAGATATTTGGAGTAGAAATATGTGTAATGAGAGTAGAATGAGCAGATAGCTATTTGACTGGAATGATAAATTAGGGAACTTTTTATTTTTTTATAATATTTTCATAAATTTTTTGATTAAAATTGATGATTTCAGTCTAATAACTATTTAGTCAACATGTTTAATTTATGTCAATGATGACAGGTATTGATAATTTCGATTCCAAATATCTTGAAAACCATTACTCGTAGCGATATTTACTAAGAGACCTTTTTTTACGTAAAAAACGTCGTAAATGTATATTTTTTTACTCAGTAGTTTTATACAGGTACGGACGAAAAGTTATTACTCTTCAAACCAGTTAAAAAATAAGTAGATGGCGCCCACTACAAATAGGAGTCATTTTGATATCAAAATCAAATTTCTCATGTCAAAAAACTGCCAGACACCAATTTTTATTCAAATATTGACGTTATTTCAGATATTATTTTGGAAAAATCGAAGTAAAATCGAAAATGGAAAAAATGGATGGAAAAATCGAAGTAAAAATGAAACTTCTACACCCTGTATCTCAGAAATTAAACATTTTAGGACATACATTTATACGAACTTTTTTACTTATTTTTATCTGAAGAATATGCTGCCGAAGTTTCCGGAATACAGTTCGGACCACCCTGTATATACGATAAGGCAACCACTCATAAAACACACCAATGCAAGCATTCTAAGTGGATAACCTCACGGTTGACTGGACCCAACTTCTTCACGGGAGAATGCCTGGCTGTAGTATAAAAGCTCAATAGTTTTAGGAATTAGTTTCGTTTACACTTGATAACTAGTAATCTTTCTGGCCGAAACCTTATTTTAATCAAAAATAAATAAAGATAATGGAAGTCCGAAATTTTTTTAGCTTCAGTACTGAATCATTGTCCACCACATTTAAAGTATCTATTGTATGATAACCTAACCTTTCTTGAGTTATATAACTCAGCATACAGTCTCAGGGCTTTGGCAAAAGCTAGTATCTGAGATGGTTCAACAGAGGTTAGTTCTCCATATCCGATGTCAGTCGTACCAAACTTTATAGCACGAATGGTTGTCGTCTCGGTGTACTCAGTGATAAGATCTCTGATGTTTCCCCCACTGCGTTGGAGGATTCCCATTCCAGAGGTTACGGAAAGAGTCTTCCAGGTTCTTCCAGGTTCGTGACTTCTGCTTTAAGTTGGTTTCCAGTTAGGAAGCAGAACGGTTCTGGCCCAGTTAGTGGAGTGTTCGGTCTTTTTCTAGTACCCACTTGCTTGCACAGTCTTAAGTTGTAATGCACTGAACGCAAGCAATCCCACACACTCCCTCTTCAGTACAGTTTCTCTTCAATCTTCAGTTTTTTAAAACAAACATGGATCGTAAGAAATTAGCTCCTGGTTTTAAGGAATTCTTATACTTAGTTCTAGATTCCCTTTCGGAAGCCTGTCCTTAACGAATTTATAATCTTCACTACCATATCCTTGTTTGCTGCTGGATCAACTTCCATCAGTTTTTCAATCAAAATACTGTAAGGAGCGTTTTTTATTTTTGTCGGAATATTTCTTGGCCAGCTTGGCCTTTTTTAATGTTCCACAAAAGTTCATGTTTCTATATAAATCAATAAAATCTAAACTCTCGCGAATTCAAATAAGACGTAATACAAGACCGATCATCAGTTAGAGTCAACGTCTTCTCCACAAGCAAGTTTGAACACGAGAGTTGTTCACGTTCAGGCCAGTCACTTCGTCGGCTTTATAACGAAAAGGCGTATCTCGATTTTTGCTACTTTTCCGTAGAGCAATTTAAAGAAAAACACTTCCTTTATTTGGTCAATAAACGTAAAGCCTCTAATTATTTAATAGTGTTTTTGTATTTATACTTAAACGGAGACCTTGAGGAAACGTTTCTAAAGATAAATTGAGCGTAAATTCTAATAAACAATTTATTTTTAGTTGTTTAATAGATATAGGCCTTTTTGTTTTAATATAATAAATTTATTACCGACTGAATAGTATATGCCTATGTAAAATAAATTTAAAAATGATGATAAAGTGTTATTCTTAATAAGGAAAAATAATAATACAATATTACTTTAGATACATTCCAGAAAAAAAAAATAGAAATCACCTAACCTAACCAGAATCAAATATATTTAAATATTTTTATTTGCGATGGATTAAATCAACTGAAAACAAAGACAATGTTCATTCTAGAGGCAAAAATTAGTTAATTATGGCAATGATTAAAAATAAAACATTTTCTGGTGACTTAATGACAGGTTTATCCCGTTTATCACCAATGCAAAGGGGTTGTAGATCTTGATTTTTACGTAATATTATAGGTTTTGGCCATGAGTTTAGTTTAAAAAGTGATGTTGAAAAAATTAGCTATCGTTTTAAGGTTATTGTTCTATAACTTTCACGAATTACCGATAACAGCTGGTTGAAGCTAGTAAAATTGCCCGAAAACAATTCACTGAAGGAGAATTACCCGAAAACAATTGATCAATGAATAAAAACCAAGCTAAACAAAGACAAAATATGCTTCTTCACCCGTGCCTTTTTAGTACAAATAACTGTGGAGTAAGCGGTGGTAACCAGTTTCACTGATACAATGTCGACTTCCATTCTACGTGCTTATGCCGGATGATGCACAATAAATACAATTTTCCAGAAATTGGCAGAGATGACAATGGCAATGGCCTAACAATGATAATGAGTTTTCGGGGCAACTTTTTTTTTCGCTAAAACGTTCTTAGGGAAATTATTATTTCGGGCAATCTTCGTTTCGGTGATTTGCTTTTCGGTCAATTTTCCTTCGGCCATTTGTTCTCGAACAATTTTCTGGATACGCAATACAGCTATGTGCAGGGTTTAACGCATTCTAACCATGGTTTGTGGCAAAAAATCAGAGACTTATTTCCTTATTTCTTTCAAGTGTGTTGAATTAGCCGCACTGTAAAAGAGAGCTGCTGCCAGATAAAACGTTTATTTTGTCCCAATTTGAGATGAAACAAAAATTTAAATGAATATAAAATGAAAAAGGTATAATATTGAGATGCGCAAATTCGCTTTGTTAAAATATGACCCAATGGGCATGTCATGACATTGATATCTCAAAATAGCCAAAAATCGAGATACGCCTTTCCGTCATAAAGCCGACGAATTGATAAACGGTTCATTAAAAAACGGACAAAGTGAGGCATCAAACAAGACGGGCGACTTGTTTGATGCCTCACACCTCACACACCGTCTTGCATTACAACTTAAGACTAGGAATGTTCGGTCCTAAGATTTCAGTACCGGTATCCAGTACCATGAAGTACCGGTCCTACAACCGGTATACCCTGTATAGGTCCCAACAATCTAATTGTTGAAACCGATACAGAACCGATATACTGGCTGGACCGGTTGGATCGGAATATCGGAAAGGCCGAAATAACAGTTTTGGTTGTTGTGCCAGCAAGCATATACCTCATGATACCGTATTAAAAAATGTAAATAGAAAGCCCTCGTGCCTGTAACGTTAAGTAAATACGGTAACGTAATAAATACTGTATTTTGAGAGATAAATTAGATTTCTCAGAATATATCGTAAATCTATCCGGTACCGTTGTAACATTCTTGATCTAACTTAATATTCTCATTGTTTAAGTTCACATTTCCGGCATATTCTTGATTTGTTGTCAAACATTCTCTTTACTTATGAAAAATGAAAAAAGTACTGGAAGCTGTTAATACTGTTAATAAGATGCTATTTTACATATTTTAAATAATAGAATAGATGCTATTGAATATCGGCTTGAGTTTTACGGACATTTTAATTTATATAATATTCATGAGTGATCCATGAGTAAGACGCTTTGCTTGAATTCCAGATGTACTAAAAAAAGATTACTAGATCAAACTAGACTAGCAATGCCTTAAACACACATCAAAATAAATTACATTGCATGTTCCTGACCGTATTATACCGAATGATCGAAAAAACATCGATTACATTCCCCATATAATTTTACATATAAAATGACAGCGACCTTCATTTCATAGCCATCGCTGACGCAGTTTTTTTTTTCGATCATACGGTACTTAGAGTGGGAGAAGACAATCAGCTTTACACAAAAACCGGTACCGAAATCGTTTTATACAGATTTTTTGATTTTCATATTATCATGAATCTATTTTTCTGTACCGATTTAAACCGGTCTTTCGGTACCAAAATCGGTCTTCCGGTACCGGTACCCAAACCGGTATACCAGTCTTGTAAAAAACGATACCGATACCGGAATATTTCAAAAGTACCGGTCCTGGTACCGGTATACCAGAAGACCGAACATGCCTACTTAAGACCGCGCAAGCAAAACAAGCCTGTTTGAGGCGGATTTAAGACTGTTCATTAACATAAATCACTAATAAATTAATTCGGAGACATTAGAAGTAATAATTAAAATCTATTATTTTTTACAGTACCGGCCTAGCCAATGGCGATGGAGACGTGGTGAAGCTAGGTATACTGCAGCAACAATTCATATGTGATATCAAACTGTAGTGCCTTTAAAGTATTAACTCATCATTCCATATTTCGACATTATATTTGCATTTGATAAAATTGTTTACTTTACTAAAGACTCGGTGAACTATTGCAAAGTGAGTAGTCATAATGTATTCATCTGATTAAATACCTTATTGTGACATTTGTGACTAGTATCATCTAATAAAATGGTATACTATGGACAGTGTAAAATGTATAATTTCTTAAATTCGCAAAACCTTTGTTGTAGTACATAATTCCTAGTTTTAAATCCTCCTGATGTTTATATATACATATGTATATTCTTTATATGAGTATATACTATACTTGTATCAAGATATACCATTTAGATACTTCTCTGTGATAAATATAAAATTACGTCCAAATTTAATAAACAAGATATTGTTGTGTAAAATCTATGTAGTCGTATTTTTATACTTTCTGTAATAATTATATAATATAATCGATAATTGTTTTATGTTGTATGAACTTACCAAATTTTATGTAATGACATGTAAATAGTTTGTATCCAATAATTGGCACTGTAAAACTGTGTATTGTCATAAAATAATAATTATAATAAAGAGTATAATAGTTTTTAAGTGACAGGATGTTAAAATTTTACAGCATATGATTTCCAAATACTATATTATTTTTAAAATTTTAGTACTATTTTTTTCTATTATCTCTGTAACATTTTAGTAATAAACAGTAAAAATAATTACAATAGTATAAATTTGTAATTTTTAATATACTTATCGTAACATAGGCCCACTCACGAAAAAATACGTGTTTATATATATATAAAAACAAATCCAATACATAATCCCTAAAATAAGAGATCACCCGATTTTCTGTACTACGAGTGTTAGTCCCAGGTTCCGTATATAGACGATGGGGAATAATTCTTCAAGTATTTTTGAAGAGAGTGTGATTTCAGAACAAAATATATCTTTGAATATTTACAGAAAATTTGTAAATTTACAAGAAATCTGTCTTAAATTTAAAGAAAGAGCGTAAATTTTGCTAAATATTTTTCAATGTTGCGATGGCAGCTCTACGCTTCCGTAGATCTACATCATAGAGTTAAAAATAAAAAATCTACATTTTCATTGAATTTTATTCAGAGTAAACATTAATCAAACCATCTAGACATGAAAATCTCAAAAATCGCAAAAAGCTAATGATTTATTGTGTATAAATTCGTTAATACCAACTTAGGTACCTCATAAATAATAAAAGTTAATGTATAAACAGTAGAGATGAGCTTAACAGCGACTTTTAAGTCACCAGTATACCGGTGACAGCGATCAGACGGTTGCTGGTTACTTTTAGACCCAAATATGATCAATGACTTCTTCCCGTCTTCTGTACCTCGTTTCCCGGTTGGTTGGGACAGCGCCGGGGCCATTAGCGTAACTAGCGATTTATCCAGGGGGGGGCTGAGGTTGAGCCCAGGGGGGCCTAATGCTTTTGTTTTTTAAAAATGAAAAATAATTTTAAAAAACACATTTTTTTAATAAAACGTTTACATGAATTTCTCTATCAATAAATTTCATAGACTTGGTTATCAAACGCGTAGGTTATCAAACGTAGTGTTCCCGTAGATTACTTAAATACCTACCAATTTTCTAAAAAAATAAAAATTAACACATTTTTTGAACTTTATCGTACTGCATGCATCGTTACGTGTGTAGGCGGTTTTGACCTATTAGCATACTACCGGCAGCGTCGAAAGTGTTAGAAAAAATTGTTAAGAGACAAGCATGTGACTATATAAATGGTAAGGGACTATTGCCTAAGTTTCAGTCTGGTTTTAGGGCAGGGTATAGTTGCGCCATGGCGTTACTGCGGATCACTGGTGACGTACCGTGACGTGGCTGGGGCACTGGACGGGGGGACGGGGGGACGCGGGTGGCTGTCCATCTGTTTTGATTGATATGACGAAGGCATTCGACTTTGACATTAATAAGCTATTAAATAAACTTAGTCACTATAAATGGACTCAGGCAGATGGTTCGGCAGCTACCTCCTGAATATGCAGCAGGCGATTAAAGTTAAGTCTCAAGATGGATCTGTAGTGATTTCTGCCTGGAGGAATGTCACCAGTGGTGTTCTCCAAGGCTCCGTATTGGGTCCATTACTTTTCGTTATTTATATTGCGGATATTGTAAATTGTATTATAGACTGTAGGTATCACGTACCTGACCTGCAGATTTACCTGCCGTCATCTGTAAATGCTCTGACTGGTGCCGTTGCCACTATTAATTAGGTGGCTAGTGTTTCTGCTTGGGCCTCCGAAAACTCCTTAGCTATAAACCCAAATAAAACGAAGGCAATTCTCTTTGCAAGAAGTGCCATCGATGTTTCGACTTTGCATATTCAAACGGCAAATGTTAATATTGTGTGGGAAGATGAGGTAAAGAATTTGGTTTGGTTGTGATTGACACGAACTGACACGAACGTGGTGTACATTGACAAGAACTTCACCTTTAATGGACATGTTAATCGCATATGACAAAGGTCTTATCACGCTCTAAAGGCCATCTATGAATATAAATATGTGCTTAGTTCGGAGACCAAGAGGGCCCTGACTAGCTCTCTTGTTTTATCGATCCCGGTTTTTTTGGACGTTGTGTATGGTCCTTTTTTGACAACTTTTAATAAATATAGAGTACAAAAAATACAAAACTCATGCGTAAGATATGTAAAACTGATTCCTCGTAGAGACCATGTTAGCCAACATATATCGAATATTTACCATCTTGACATGAGTCAAAGGCGTTTTGTACACGTCCTTTTAATAACCTTGCACATGTCCTGCCTCTTACACAAGCAGGTTGTAATCACGGGTATTCCTTCCTACCTGACTGAGGCCATGGTTAGGCGTAGTGAAGTCATCCCAGTGAACGTCCGCAATCAAAACGCGATTTGCATTCCTAGACATGAAACGCAATTTTTTTAAAAACTGTTTGTTTCTTTTACCTAGCTGGGCATGTGTACAACATCTTGCCTGATCATATGAAGTCCCTCAGCCCAAATTATTTTAAGCGCATTGTCATGGAATATGCGTCGAATATACTGCTACGTCTATGATTTAAAGTAAGTTTCTTTTTTTTTTTTTGGACGTTGTGTATGGTCCTTTTTTGACAACTTTTAATAAATATAGAGTACAAAAAGCGTAAGATATGTAAAACTGATTCCTCGTAGAGACCATGTTAGCCAACATATATCGAATATTTACCATCTTGACATGAGTCAAAGGCTCAGTATAGCTGGTTATAATGTAGGAATTCGGGTCTTTGCCAAGAATTCTTACAATGTTGATCCTAGGAATGACCGCACAATGTTACATGTGTTAAGAATAACAGCTTTCTGCATATAAATGTAAGTATTTGCAGTAATGTTCAGTAATTTCAAGTTTTGTTCAAGAGTCTTTGGTACAATGCCTTCAACTGATATAATACTGGGTATAATGCTAACCTTCATATTCCACATCGCTTCGATCTCTTGTGCAAGGTGAGTATATTTTTTATTTATAGGGTTCTTGGCTTTTGGTCAATATTAAACTTTTTCTGGGTTTAGGAAGTGTTTATTATATAACTAACATTTCGGTCCAGTTTTAACCTTTTTCAAAGCCTATAATACGATATTATCAAACTACAACTGTGTAAAAAAATATAAATAAAACTTACCACAAAACGTACATTTCCTTCGTCAAACTTGTATTAAAACATGGGTGCATAAAATAACAGGTGATAACACATAACATTTAACTTAAAATTATACTCATACAATATCGCCCACATGACACAATAATTAACATATACAGTTTAAAATTTTAATAAATTGTGATGGCCGGCTCAATGTATTTTCTGTACTGAAGCGTTTCTATTTACAAGATTGGTGTGTATATTCTACTTAGCTTATCGACATCTTTTTTTTCGTTAATTGCATTTTTGTTTTTTTGTATCTGAATCATTTCAAGGAATTCTCGTTTTTTCAAATTAATTTCGGTGTTTAAAATTCTTGTTTTATTGTAATCAAAGGTGTGATTATTATTTTTTTCGTGAGTATATTTATGTATTTTCTCTTGATATTTTTGGGTCAAGTTTTGTGTGTTTGGTACGGATATGTCTATGAGCTTGACTTGTATGTTACGTTTATAAATTAGTGTTATATCCCGCCTGTTGTGCGGTATTGTCGCATCTGTGAGTATTGTCTTATCCCAGTATATCTTTACCTCTTCATTTTCGATGACTGGCTTTGGTTCGAATGAGTAATAGGGTTTAGGATCTTCTTCAAGCAACGAGTATTTCCTCAATATTTCCTTGTAGAGGATGGTAGCTACTTCGTTATGCCTTTTTAGATATTTCGTAGGAGCTAGTGTCACACATGATGACGTAATATGATCAAGGTTTTCCTGAGGCCTGAGGCTTTCCACATTTGCGACATTTGTCAATTACATTATCTTGCTTCATTATGTATTTTTCATAGTTTTTTGTTTTGATGACCTGATCCTGAATTGCAACAACGAATCCTTCGGTCTCAGGAAACAAATAACCTAGTGTTAGCCATTTTAAAGATTTTGTTTTGTCTATATGACCGCCATCTATGTTATTTTTGTATCTACCATGAAGTTGTTTAGATGCCCATTCTTGATATTTCTGGTGGTCTGTCTTTATAAGATTAATCAGATTTTCATTCCTATTTGCTAAGTTTAGGGGTGTATAGGATTTATCTGACTCAATAATTGTTCGGTGTACTTCCTTGGATTCATTTTTATAAAAATACTGACGCATGTCATGGATTTGTGCATAGTGAAGATTTTTGAGGTCGATTAATCCTCTTCCTCCTTCCGATTTTTGGAGGTTTACTCTTATCTGTGATGATTTTGGATGTTGCATTTGGAATTTAGTCAAAGTGGTGCGGACCAATCGATTAAGTGCTTCCAGATCTGTATCAGACCACTTAACAATACCAAAAGAGTATGTAAAAACTGGAACGGCACAAGTATTAATAGCTTTTATGATATTATTTGATGAAAGTTTAGTTTTGAGTGCTCACAAGTCTTTGTTTGAATTCTTTTGAGTATTTGTCTTTCATTATTTTATTTTAGTTGTTCGTTTTTATGTGTTTGTATGATTTCTAAATACTTGTAGTGACCAATCCCAATTCTCTCAATAAAATCTCCACCTTCCAGCTCAAAATCTAATCCATCCATCAACTGGCCTTTTTCGACGGTAACAATTTTGCACTTGTCTAGCCCAAAAGACATTCCTATATCTTGCGTCATGTTGTTAGTCAGTTCGAGTATACTATCAAGTTGTTTCCTGTTGGCAGCGTATAATTTGAGATCATCCATGTAGAATAGATGATTGATTCTACATTGGTTCCTGCTTCCTTTGACGTTCACGCCATATTTTGTATTTTTAACGGTGTTGGATATTGGGTGAAGTGCTAGGCAAAACCAAAAAGCACTTAGCGAATCACCTTGAAATATTCCTCTCTGTATGCGTATTTTATTGGTTTTAAGTTGTGTTTCTTCTTGTGTAATTTGCAATGAGGTAGACCACTCAATCATAGTGTCTTTCAGAAACTTGACGATGTCACGATTGATTCCATAAATTTCCAATACATGAAGTAGCCAGGAGTGAGGAATAGTATCGAACGCTTTTCTGTAGTCAATGTATGCGATGTTTATATTGCGACATAGTTTTCGGGTCTGTTCAAGAATAACGGCGTCAATGGTTAGTTGTTCTTTGCATTTGCAGTCATAATGTTGTGCTCTGAGAGGTGGTTATAGATTTTTGTGCACAGAATTCCCGAGAGGAGCTTATATAATGTCGGCAAACAGGTGATTGGCCTATATTGAGATGGGTCAGATGTATTAGAGGATTTAGGAAGAAGATACGTAATTCCTTCTGTAAAAAAATGGGGTGTGAGTGATGGAGATTCGATAAAACTGTTAAATATACGTGCAATGTGTAGGTGTAACACATTCAGTCGTTTCAACCAGAAGTTATGTATACCGTCTATGCCAGGTGCTCTCCAGTTGGCGGATTTCAACAGAGTTTCTTCAACATCCTTGCAAGTTATTAATGTGTATGGCATTTTTTGGATATTTGAAAACCTTTCTTCCTCTTTCTGAATCCATTTCCAGGGTCTACAGCATCTTGTCGAAGTTTTCTATAAAAAGATCGCTGATTTTTCCGAAAGAGTTGGTTGTCTCTTTTTCTTGCATTAGAGTCTCCATATCTACGCAGTCTTTTGCTATACACTGCTAGTTTTTGTTTTAAAGTGTCCACGTAATCAGTTATTATGTGTTTGTGTTCTGTAGGTGGTTTCATATATAGCTTTTGTTGGATGTCTGTTGGTTTTTTGCATATTGGTAAGTTTATGGTTTGATAGTGCTGTGGTAATACCTATTTTCCGCCTAAGGTTTTTAATTTTATTTTCTAGACGCAGCTGCCATTTTGGTTTCGTAGCGATCTTTTTAGAGGTTTCTGAAAGACTAGTAAACAACTTCTGATTCTGACTAAGGACTGTTCTTGCGGCACAGTAGATGCGTAAATGAAGTTGAATCATATTATAATCTGCAAGAGGTTTTGTTTCGATAATTCTGTTTATTGTCGAAATTAGTGCATTCGTCTGGGAATTATAATTGAGCTTGGGCAAAAGTTGCCTGTTTTTCGGATCTATGCCATCATACTCAATAAGAAGTTGTTCCAATGTATTACTCATTTTTGTGAAGATAGGATTTTCTTGTCGCAGTTCAGATCGTGGCTGATTCTTTTTTGAACTATTGTTTGTAGGTGTCTCAGGTTCTAGGAGTGTTTCTCGATTGTCAGTTCTATCAAGTGCAACATTTTTCTCTTGCAGCTCCTTCTCGACCTCTTCTTTTAAAATATCTACTACGGCTTCGGGTAGCAAATTATTCCTTAGTATTACATTTTTCTGCATAGCTGCTCTCTTTTGTGGTATATGAGACAAATGGGGGTAGATCGCGACAAAGGCTTCTTGAAGTTTGTCTGCATATAGTGCGGTATCTCTCTCAAGGTTCGTCACACGAAAGTAGCGCATGATATTTTTGTTCATTTCAGTTGTCCATACAATGCGCCGTCTACTCTGCTGCTGTTTTACTGGTTCATTCACCACTTGGGTGGACACAGAAGGGGGATTCTGCGTAACACTTCCGGTGGCGGGGACAATTAGCTCTTGAACGTCCATTGAGTGATGTGGAGTGTTTGTTGTGTCATTTTGTGTCGGTAGTGTCGAAGCTGGATCGTCAACATTTTGATCGGGCTGTGAGTTCCCGCGTCGTCCCCGATCGTTACGACGCTCCTCCGAGGCTTGGGTACTTATTTTTGGAACCCGTTCTACACACTTGAAGGGGGTTAGCCCTACAAGTGGTTGTGTTGTCGTTAGCCGGAAAATTCCGTTGCCCGGGATGCACCGCGTGGAGGTGACAACATGCACCCCTGCAGTGTTATTATTGTTGTTATTATATTTATGGAATGTTTTATTTAATGTTATATTATTGTTATTACCTTTAGGTGGTCATGAAAAAACAACCCTGTTGATACTGGCCACCTTTGTATGTAAAATTTTATTTTTCCATGCAATAAATCTTTTTACTATTATTATTATTTTAGCAGCAACTTAAGTCACCGCGACCGTCGAGACTCAACGATACAAAATACCTGCTCGTCTTCATCCGATCCCGTTTGCAGCTTGCGCTAGGAGCCGAGACGGTGACCGGGCGTATCGATGTGTGCCAGCGACCACTGAATAATTTTTACTTCTAGCGACCAGCGACTGAAGTCGCTGGTTAAATTAGCTCAATCGATATGCTGCCGCCGCTGTACGTCTATAATAGTTGCGATGTTTATTATTGTGGAAAAGAAAAAAGTAAAAAAAAGGAAGTAATTAATAAAAGTGCGACAGAAAAAAAAACGTGAATGGATTAGCTTTTATCAAGTCAAAACAAAGATATTATAACGTTTTAGATACCATTTCTTTTTGTCTTGGGAAGTTTATTTAATATTTAATATGGCTATTTCTATTTATGTATTAGATTAATTTTAAATTTATATCCCGTTAGGAGAGCCGCTCAAATATTCTTGTTTTTCACATTATAGGCATCACCTGTCAATTAATTACGGAAAGATACATACATTGTATAAATGTCAGGTATAAACAGAGAATGATTTTTTTTATTTAACATTAATATCTGAACGAGTTCCGCATCCAATAACAACAAACTTATTCATTTACAATCACAAGTATTCAAAATTTTAAGAAAAAAATTGTTTCTGACTACTACATAGTTATACAATTAAATTTGTTAGTTAAACAATTTTGAAAATTGATAATTAAATTTATACTAATGTATTATATTTTATAATATAAAATGTAATACAATATTATGATTCCAAGAGTAGGTTGTGATAATAGATCCAGAGTCTCTGTCCTACAATTAGTGGGTTATAAAAAATAAATCATATAATACGCTCCTCTGCATTTTGCAATATATCGCCTGTGGCACATTTCACCGCTGGGCCCAAGATTCGATGCAGCGACCAGGGACAGGCGCGGCGACCATATCGTAGTCATTATAGATAGTTTTCTGTTCACCGCTGAGACTTTATTAACAGCGACCAGGGTCGCTGGTCGCTCTTTGCCATAGACATAGGTCACTGGTATTACCGGTGGCCGTGCAAGTCACCGGTAAAAGTCGCCGGTACAAAAATATCGCTCATCTCTAATAAACAGTGCTCTTTAATTTTAATTTATTTTATAATAAGAGCTACATTATTTTCTTCTAGCTCAGAGGGTTTAATAAATTTTCGGGAGGCTTTTCTTGGACGCTTTTTTTGGAAGTCTTCTTTGTTGGATAATATTTTTCTGCACAGCTGTACACTGCAGAGCTTTTAGTGTTGGTCCAATAGAAGCAACAATCTTTTCTATTGCTTTAAACTGGTTAATGTTTTCGATGCTTAAAATTTCTCGTGATATCTTTTCCAGTAGTTTTTTCTTCTTATTACAAAGATCATTGTTACCAACTATATGAGTAATATTACTACTTATCTGATTAATTTTCTGTTCTGTTTCTTTAAATGTCTGTGATTCCATTGTGTCAAAATTTTCTAAAATAATAAATTTTATACAGGGTGCTACAAATTCGAGGTACGAGCATTGGTATCTCGGAAACCGTAAGAGATACAAAGATGGTTAAATTGGGGCAAAGTTGCGCTTTAGGATGTTCACCAAGATGCCATCAAAAAAGTTTTAAAAACATCAAGGGTTGCTAAGTTTTTTGGAAAAAAGTGATTTTTTTGAAAATTAATTTTATTTTTTCCTGTCGTTACTTTTTAGAAAATCAAAAAACTAATTGCACATTCTCATAGTCACTTTATTAGGGCTATCTGATAGTATTTTTAGATTTTCAAATTAGCTGATAATTTGTGAGATACAGAGGCCAACTTAATTTTTTTAAATACGGACCTAAATTTTTTATTTCAGATTTTGAAAGAACTCAGTCTCCTGAGTACAATGATATGCCACACTTAATTTTTTTTTGTTCGGACATTTGAACACAATTTAATTAAACTAATTTCAAGTCCGGCTCTGTTTTTTTAAATATTTAATCTATTCATCGTTACAATATTGGTAGGCTTTCAAACTTAACAATGACGTGAGGTAAAACATTGAATACCGAAAATCAAATGCAATCAAATAATAAAAATAATATAAAATTATTGGGCATTACTTGACGTCATTTTTAAAAGTGAAATACAAGTGACAATACATTTCAACATTTACAATAAAGAGTACAGAATGCATTCGGAAGTATAAGAAGAAGATACGTTCAAAGAGCTATAAATAAGATTGAACGAAAAATATACTTGTGCATTAGGGGCGGTGGTAACTCTTTCGAACATGTAGAGCATTTACTAGTTTTAGAAACTAGTTTGTAGAAGTTAATTTATTTATAATAACTACGATTAATATTATGCATATTATTAGATCGTACACTGAGATTTCAAATTCACAATAAAAAAAATAAAAATTATATTTTTAAATTGCTGACCTGGGTATTATTTATTTGAAACTTCAATGTTGATTAGCGCTGATCCATATTGTTGCGATGAATATAATCAGATTAAATAATTTAAAAAACTAGAGTCGGACTTGAAATTATTTTAAATAATAATTAAATAGTTTTGTTATTGTTAAGGTACCTAAAACAAAAAAAGTATCAAGTGTGGCATATCATTGGACTCAGGAGACCGAGTTCTTTCAAAACTTCAAATAAAAAATGCAGGTCCGTATTTAAAAAAATTAAGTTGGCCTCTGTATCTCACAAATTATCAGCTAATTTGAAAATCTAAAAATACTATCAGATAGCCCTAATAAAGTAGCCACGAGAATGTGCAATTAGTTTTTTGATTTTCTAAAAACTAACGCCAAGAAAAAATAAAATTTATTTTCAAAAAAATTCGTTTTTTCCAAAAAACTCAGCAATCCTTGATATTTTTAAAACTTTTTTGATGGCATCTTGGTGAACATTCTAAAGCGCAACTTTGTCTTAATTTAACCATCTTCGTATCTCTTACGGTTTCCGAGATACCAATGCTCGTACCTCGAATTTGTAGCACCCTGTATACATTCATAGTAGTTCAATAGTTCTATTACTTTCAGTCTTAAGGTCTATGATTTCATATAGAAATTATACAGAGTGGCGCACCTCATTCGCTTCGGTTGATATAAGAAAACGGAAAGATGTAGAAACAAAATATTTTATGGGTAGGTATATGTGGGAAGGCAATGTGCATAATTTAAAATTATTTTGAAATGTACAGGGTGTGTGGTGTGTCTGAACTAAGATCCATACCAAAGTTATATTTTTTCTTATGGAACACTTTACGGTATTTTATTTCATTTTTGGATTCTTGGACATAAAATAAGGCATTTGTTATGTTATAAAATAATAATATGTTTAAAATCTTTGGTTTTTGAGATATTTAAACATATTTAAATGTGCATGGTATAATAAAAAAGTTTGTCAACACCTTGTACAGTACTTTTCAGAATTAATTCTTGCACTGACATTCAAGCAAGAGAAATAAACTTTACTAAAAAAATTGATTGCTTTCTTAAATGTATACAGGGGTATCAAAAATTGCTGGTCTATTTTAAATACTTATTTTACATAAAAACTTTGTTATTTCTATGTATATAACACTATGTATTTTTTTAAATAAGTTGAAGCAGATTTCAATGCTCTTTCAAACTAAATTAGGGTTTCCTATACCTATCTGGCTCAGATTTTGAATAAAAAGCGATTTTTCAATAAAAATTGTAATCAAGATGGCTGGTGTCGCCATCGCAATTTTTTAATGAGACTTTGACACTTAGTAGGTATTTTCAAAATCGACATTAGTTTATGGACTTCATTTAAATTTATAACAGGTTATTTTTATTTAATTTGCCTACAATAGGGTTAATAAGTATTTATTATTTTATCAAGAAAAATTAATTAGTATCTGCTGGCGGAAGGAATGGATATGTTACTAGTGATTTTATTTTGTGAGGACAATTGCATGTTGGCCTGAAGGGTTTATGCTCAGATATCCAAATAGGAATTTTCTTGACAAGCGCTCCTTTGAAAAACTACTTTTCGTATTTCACAGAGCTGATGGTGGTATATCAAAAACATATTACGCAGAAACCTGTCGTTGGAAGTGAAGAAAATGAATTTGCCTTAATTGGTTCTTTTATAGAAAATCCAATATATCTAAGTCATCGTAATATAAATAAAAAACTACTTCTTTATTTTTCTTAATAAAATAATAAATACTTACTTATTAAACTATTGTAGGTAAATTAAATAAAAGTAAACTGTTATAAATTTAAATAAAGTACATAAACTAATGTCGATTTTGAAAATAGCTACTGTCACTAGCAAATTGCCATGGCGACACCAACCATCTTGATCTTGATTGCCATTTTATTGAAAAATCGCTTTTTATTCAAAATCTGAGCCAGATAGGTATAGGAAACCCTAATATAGTTTGAAAGAGCATTTAAATCTGCTTCAACTTATTTAAAAAAATACATAGTATTGTATTTGAAATAACGAAGGTTTTATGTAAAATAAATATTTGAAATAGACCAGCAATTTTTGATACTTATTATGTTTGATAACATTTTAGTAAAGTTTATTTCTCTGGCTTCAAAGTCAGCACAACAATTAATTCTGAAAAGCAATGTACAGGGGGTTGACAATATTTTTTTTATTATGACATGCATATTTAAATATCTGAAAACCCAAAGGATTTAAACATATTAAACCCTTATAATAATGTTTCTACATCTTTCCGTTTTCGTATAATCAACTGAGGTGAATGAGGTGCGCCTCCCTATATTTGTTAGCTTGGACTAAAAAAATAGGCATAACGTTTTTTCTTCTACACAAATCATTTACTTAAAAAGATGTGAATTCCTTGAAATTTAACATAGGTGTTCTAACTAGGTAAAACTGCAGTGATTTATTCTAATATGAATTATATGTATCAACAAAAAGACCACAAAAAAAGGACTTAATGGATATATAGTGATAAAAAATGATTTAACTCAAAATAAAATTTGTAAATGGAAAATTTACCTGAATCGTCAGAACAATATTCAAGACAAGGGGCTTCATTTGTATTCTTTTGTTCTTTAAGGTATCTGCATAACAAATGTATGTGTTTACACATATTCCAACGAATTGCACAATCTATGCAATCACAAGAATATTTGTGAATACAGGTCTTACATTGCGAGCAAGACAACTGACATTCACAGCTAGTATTATTTTCAGAAATTGTATATACACTACTAGATCCAGATGTAGATTGTATCAACCAAATTCCTTCGTTTTTCTCACAAATAGAGTTTGTGTTTAGCACTATACTAGATTCGTGTCGTTTCTGTAGCTCTTTTAGTTTTGATGAAATTTTCCCTTCATTTAAAGAAAGTAATCTATCAAATAAAAGGTCTCTCACTAACTTCATTAATACTCCCAAAGTTTTATCCAAATGCTGAACCTTCTTCCCCCGCAAATATATGTGCTTAATAGATTTATGTAAGCGTTCTAGGTGCATATTAGTGTTTAGTCCAGAGTGAATCCAATAGCAATAAGCCCAACTTTTGCAATTTTGTACATAATAGTTTTGAAAATACTTTGCAAATTCAACAGTTTCAGACTTTTCAAATAACTGAACTACAAATTCATTAATCATTTTTTCAAATGTAACAGTATCACTTTCTTGCATTAAAGTCCTTAACATTTTGTAAATGGTAGCCTAAAAAAGGTATTAAAAATGTACTGTAAATCAAGGGCTTACCTTAAATGAAATAAAAAGTAATACAGTATTGAAGCAGTAAACCAAGTAATCGGAAAACATGATCCTTATTGTGAGTGATGTAACAGGTGAAAAATTCAAGTTTAATAAAAAACAAAATTATTATACATATCGTCGGTTTACAAGCAAAACACACTAAGTCCAAAAACGAACATATTTTAATGCATTTTTAATAAACTAATATAGCGCCATTATGGACCTAATGAATATGAAAGTAATTTAAAAATTAAACTAATAATTCTTAGAAGGTATAGTATATTTTTCCTGGATATGGATCTATATTCTGGAAGAAATCTAGTCAAATGATATAAATAAATCAAAATTAAAATAATTGGACTTAGTGTGTTTTGCTTGTAAACCGAAGATATAATAACACTGTATACAGCTAGCTATCAGACTTTATAAACTATTGGTATTGTGTGTAAATAGAAAAATTTAGTAGTGCCTACCTGATTTTCCTTAAGTTTAATATTATGTAGATTTTTTCTCCATTCACTATCAACATGCCAGCTGCAGAATAATCTTAAAAAATATAATATAATAAATAGGAAAAAAATACAATTGACTCATAACTTACCGAAATTGTGCTTCTGACATTATTTGAATCCACGCATTATAATAAGATTCACCCATGTCTGACATGAAAACTTTGGTTTCAATATTACCGACTTCTGCTTTTATACAATTGAAATAAGTATTCATAACTACTTCATCACTACGATTAGATACTAAAAATGAACATGGAAATCCTTGATGAAGTTCATCCAAAACTAGAAGTGTATATAACTTGAAATTATTGTTGTTAAGACCATGGATTCCATCTATACAAATATAATTTTGGGCATAGTTTAACAACATCATTTTTTGATCTTCTGTCATTATAATTAAAATAAAATCTTCCTGCCTAAATTGTGGATAGTCTTCCAGGATAGTGCCTTGTGGTTTGTAAAACAAGACACAGGAACTTTTCATTTCCTCTACCCATGCGTCCACATTAATGTCATCATTTTTATGTCTCTGTGATGTAGAGTCCAAGTTAAAACAAGCCTCTATGTTAAACAAGTCTTTTTTCGTCAATAAATGCATTCTCTCCATTGAATTCGTACTAACTGTATCTCTAATCTCATTTAATATTTCATCAAATGGTATATTCATAGATATCTTAGTGGCTAATACTTTTCGTTCATCATTGGTCAAAAACAAATGACACAAATCATTCTGATGCCCAACATGTGTCTCTACAAAACTGACCTTATGACTATCACAATATTTGTTAATGGTTACTTGAATTCTAGCTGGACAAAATCCATTAATTTTTTTACTGCCTTGAGATTTTAGATGACGTTTTCCAAAACCTCTTGATATAAAAAAACCTGAACGGTGACACACATAGCTAGTATAAATAGCTTTAGATGCTGTTACACGTCTTTCTAAAACAAATTTAGTTTGTGTTTCCTTTTCGGTTTGAGAGAACCATGAACTAAATTGCTCTGCTGTGGAAAAGTTCATGTAATTTGTTTTAACGGTAATATCATGATCCCGTTTAAAATGTTCATGTAAGTCATCTTTAAACCTACTGCCAAAATCACACATAGGACATTTTTTTCTAATATTTTGTACCGGGATATTGGTATTATTTGAACCATCACCTAAAACAGTTCTATTATTATCCCCCAATCAAGGATATAAAGATCAAATTTGCCATTTTTAAAGAGGACAAAGAAAGACACAGTCAAAGTCTATATATACACTATTATTACTAATATCGTGGATCTGGGTGACAATGTTTACACTTGACTCTACGGTACTCTACCTCACTTCTTTGAAAATTTGGTCAATTACCTTGTGCCACTTGTGCATGAGATTTTAAATGCCATGCTAAATTCCTCTTTGCGCTAAAATGTTTATTACAAAATTCGCAGGTAAATGCATATACTTTAGTTTTTAAAGGTGCTATTTCATCTATCTGATTCGGATGAAATTTTTTAACATGTTTCCGAAGCACACTAAAACGCACAAAACTGCGATCACATTCGCAGCAATAACTGCTATTAGAAATACTGGTCTCTGTACTGGTATTCATTTCACTTATATTAACCAAATAACAGCAAATAATAAAATAATAATCGAACTTTGGGTGATTCGTATGTGGTTTAGTTTAAAACACAGGTTTAAAATTCCCACAGACATTGCCACAGACCTTACCACAAAACACATACACGGACCTTTACCACAGGGCACAGCACGGCAGTGTTGCCGCGACAAAAATTGTATTATCGGTAGAAATCTTGGTCAAAATTCGGTAGAAATCGGTAGACTGGATAATTAACACGTGGTTTTATTAAGAAGTGTCCAAAGTAAGTCGTTTTTGGGGTATAAAAAGATGCTTGAAAAATACAAACAACACAAAATTGTATATTAAACATGAATACACAGGAGGAAACTCTTAAATAAATTAAAATATCGTTTAGATTTTTTTAATGGATGCTCTTGCAAAGCCCCTCCAAGTATATACTGCCTAAAGCTTTCAAAAATATTTTTAATACTTTGAGAATTTAATTTTTATTTTTTATTTAAACCCAAAACTCATTTACAAAATTCGAGATCACTAAATACATAGATAGTTTACTAGTTTACTCTTATTATAAACATATTCTCAGTTCATACATACATGTCAATGCATACAATTCAAGTTATTTTTAGAAATTGATTTTTTGATCCCTTATCCTAAAAATAGCACAAGCTCACTTAGTCTTTTTAAGTAAATTTTATTCAATAAAAAAAAAAAAAATGTGTAAATAAATATTTTAGAGATTTAATCCATTAAGTTATTATTATTGATAAAAGAAAAAAGAAAGTATTTCATGACGTTTCGACCATTTTTAAAAGTATACCGTATGAATCGAATAAAAACGGCGTCAATGCCGATGGCTATTGAAATGTAGATCGCTGTCATTTTAATATGTATAAGTTTATATAGGAAAGTGCCTATCCGATCGTCCATTTCCAAGCAATCTGGACGCCGTTTTTATTGATCATACGGGTAAAGTTTTAACAAATTTACGTTCAGGATGGAACAAGTAGAAGATTATCAATCAATTTGAAAAAGACCCAATATGAAAAAACAGAAAAAAAAAAAAAAAAAAAAATCAATAAAATATAATTTTTTTTCTTTAGTCAATAAAATAATAATACCCACCTGACCTCAAACCTAGAATAAAATGTACTTAAAAATATATTAATAATTGGAAACTTAAAGTCTTCCATTTATAGTTTTCCAAAATATCGGGATTTCGCCGATAACGGAAGAGGTGAAAACAATAATTATTTAAAAAAAAAATAAGTGTAAAAAGTAAAGAGTTTACCCTTGACCCTTGATTATAATAGACAAGGCCTTGACAAAACAAAGAACTTTCCCTGATAATAATAGGTGTACTGTAATTTGCGTATTTGTGATTCAAGAAAATATAACTCATTAGAATATTTCAATACAAGATTCCTATTACAACATTCGTTTTTAATATCTATGACACTAAAATATTCCGAAGAATGAAAATCGGTAGAAAATATAGACTTTTCGGTAGATCGGTAGATAGATTGCCAAATCGGTAGATCTACCGAAAAATCGGTAGAAGTGGCATCACTGCAGCACGGGCACAGACCACAGAGAGATAATTCTTAAAACCCTTGTTTATATATTAATCAGAGAATAGGTACATTAAAGAAATGCATAACTTCATGTTAAAAAATGGAAACAGACGCCATCTGGTGTCGCCTGGCAGTACTAGCTAAATTGAGGGGAATTGGAGGGCGGGGCTTAAAAGAGGGGAAATTTTTAAAAAAAATATTTTTATAAGTATGACTGACTTATGGTGGGTTCATACAGCCAAATAAAATAAAATAAGAATAAAATAAAATAAAATCAGAAAGTTGGTTATATGGGATACCGTACATCGTTCATACAGCCAATAAAGTAACAAATAAAATGAAGATAAGTCTTTATCTTTTAACTTCGTTTTATTTTATGTGAAAACGGTTTTGCGCACGCTTAATTCTAAACCTATCAAAATTTCCAGTTTGGATTTAAATTTAATTTTATAATTCGAACAAAGTAAAATGTATAATATAGTAGGCAACGGAATAAATAAATATTACTGATATAATAGTAATAATTAACTATAAACATCGTAAAAGTTAACTTTTATCCAGCCTCATCGGACTGCGCATGAGAACAAATATATATTTCTTATTTTATTTTATTTGACTGTATGAACGCACACAAATAAGAATTCCTTATTTCTTATTTTATTTTATTCTTATTTTATTTTATTTGGCTGTATGAACCCACCATTACTGTTTAAAGTTAATAAACATATTGGTAATGGTGTGGATCCGGTGGCTGACCTTGAAACGAGTTTCTGCTGCATATAGTCACAGACACTACGCATGCGCACATCTTCGATGTTGCCAGATTGTAAGTTATTTTGGAATTATTTTCAGTAGAAAACAAATATGTCCTTTTCAATGTGTTTTTGTTCAATATAACGTATGATCCCGAAAAAAATGGCGTTCAGTTGGCTGGGGAATGACGATTGAGGACATTTCCCATATAAAATGACAAGCGATCTCATTGCATAGTCATGCGCTAACGGCTATTTTTTTTCAAACGAAAAAAAAAAAAATTATTATATCAAGGATTTATATTATATTTAAATATTTCGCAGACAACACGTGAACGCTTATTATGTAATTTTCATAGTCAATAAAAGTTAAATAGAAATAACTCTAGATTCCTATAAATAATCTGTTGGGATTATTTAAATAAAATAAAAAAAAAAAAAAAAAAAAAAAATTCTGGAAATTAATATTCCCCAAGTTTCCTTTTTTTTAATTTTAAATGCTGTAGCTCATGTCATGTTCATAATAGGTTTTTTAAACATTCCATAAAACACGGAGGCCTTAAAAGGCCTTTTAGCCTCCGTAAATAAATTGTAGAATCACTTCAAGCAACATTAACAGTTTTACCTTGTGATTCTGCTTATACATATATTGCATTAATTTTTTCCTGCGCTACTTTAAGATTTCTCTATTCTTACATCCTATTTGTGATTTTCTTTCACTCACACTTTTATAAGCCACCCTATAGAAGATAAAATAAAATAAAAAAAAAAAAAAAAATATTAAGATATTTTAACATTTATTTTCCCGACAAAGGCCATGAAGATTAGACATAATTAAATATTATAAGAAAGATCTTAATATAAATCACTAACTAAGTCTAATTAGGGGGGGGGGGGGGGGGGGGGGGGGGGGGGGGGGGGGGGGGGGGGGTGGTCTTGTATAAACACAGTTATAAAACTAATAAGATCAAAACTCAACCTTAACCATATTGTCAAGATTTGGCATTATAGGAAACAAGAAATTACCTACAGTAAATTAAGAAAAGAATAACAAAGTACACGATATTAAATAACTGGTAAGATGTATTTACGGATACAAACCCATCCCTCCCTTACTAAAGAGAAAACATAAAAAAATGTTTTTTTTTTTTTTTTTTTTTTTTTTTTTTTTATTAAGTAATTGTTATCTTGTAGTAATTGTTGATATTTTGAAGAAATTATGATACAAACTTAATTATAATCAAAGTATATATACAGGGTGTTTTTTTTTTTTTTTTTTTGTATTATTTTAACTGGTAGTATAGTTAACCCCAGAAACACGCCTAATGAGGTTTTTTTCGCAAAAAAACCATTGAAAATTTAAATATTTTTCTTGACATTTTCCCGGAAAATGTTGAAAATTTTATTTTTTGAGTGCCACTGTTCCCTCCCCGGGAAATTCGTTTAGCGGGCATAGAGAGTGTCGGAGAGAAGGCAACGTTGCCACCATCCTACCATATTACCAATTCTGCATGTTATCTATAAATTCAATTATTTTTGTTGCTAAAATATTCTAAAAAAAAAATACGAAAATTAATTTTATTCATATTAGTGTAGATTGCTCTACTAATTCTAGAGAAACGCGCATATTTTAAATACTTTTTATAGCAGTGGAGTGAACTGAAAAAATAAATCTTATTTTTTTTTTTTTTTTTTTTTTTTTTTTTTTTTTTTTTTCAATCGTTTCAATAAACAATTTAAACCTTTAATGTTTAAATTAGAGCTACCCTGTTAATGAAAGTGTTTTTTATCCAGCACACATATACATAAACACATACACACCAAATATCCATTAAACTGAACATCACAAACCTATCACATGCCTATCACTTTTAAAAATATTATTTAAAATTTTTCCATGATAATAATCAAACACAAACTCATAAATACAATTATATATATATATATATAAAAAAACTTGTTTTTAATAACTACTAGTTATTTGCCGGCTGCTGATGGTAGACAGTCCGAGGTTTTCTTCGACATTTCTTCAAAACCGACGCAAACCCGACAACGATTTCGAAAACACTGAAGCACAGAATATACTAACGAAAAAGAAGCCCAAGTTCCTTGTAATAAATCGGTTCCATTTTCGTAACGCCATCTCTCGACATAGCTGACATTATAGGTTAGCCAAAGGGGTGCGAGGCCGGGGGGAATTGTAAAATACACTTTTTTATTTTAATTATTTTTATAATTAAAAAAAAAAAAAAACATTTTTTAAAACATTATTGAAAACAATCACATATAATGTCTTCAAAGATAATAATTCACAAACGGAAAGCAAAAGGATAATTAAATAATAAATAAAAAAAAAAAAAAAAGTTTATTGATAAAAAAGTTAGGCTATGCAAATTGCCAATTGCAAAATTGTATATTAAGTATAACCTTTTTGGTATAACATTGTTAAACAAACAATAACAAATCATAACATATCAGATCATAGAACTAAAAAAGTACTATTACAATAAAAAGGTGAAACAATTAATAATTAATTTACATATATCTAAAACCGGAAAAAATCAACCTGCAAACACAACCACACTTATCACAACAGAAATTAACACACACTTCCACAGCAATTGTCCAAGAAAGACTGATCCTGGACTGATCATTCTGTTTGGTCCTGGTCCGGTCGTAGCTCACGACGTCGTATTGTCGGTAATCAAAATCCCTGTCCAAAATTTGACGATCAGCGCCATCTCTCGTCTAATTTGGAACTTTGTTGGAACCATTTTTAATATTTCACTTAACATGGCCCTGCACTAAAGGAATTACAAATTACAAATTT